TTTATGGGAAATTCGGAAGGAGACGTCGTAGCGTCGCCCTTTTCAAAGCATGTACCCTGGTAGCCACGGGACCAACCTAGAATTCTTTTAATATTATATAAATCTTCCTTTACATTCTAGATTTAAAATTTTGAAATATGAGGGAAAAATAACACGATATCATGTATATATCTATATACACCAAACAATTTTTGTCACAACTATTCATACTTTTTTTTTTTTTCTCTTTAAACTATTCATACTTGTAAGTTTATGCAGATTATCGACAAACGCTTTATTCTTGAATTTCCAGTAACATTTTATCGTGTTACAAGAATTAATGGAGAAATAAAGCTCTTTGTCAAAAAATAGAGAAATAAAGCTCACACCAATTTATGTTAATCAATAGGCTGATACTGAGATAAGGATATATTCTACACTGCAGTTTTTAAGAGATAATATTTTTACTAGAATTAGGTTTACTACCGATGTATAAATACAGATCGTAGTTTGTGTACGAAATACACAAGCTTTCCAAATTATTCACTTATTAATGTTTGAGTTCGAATTTCGGTATATACTACTAATTTTGTAAGATGATGGTATATGATCTTGAGAGAACTCATTATAAAACAAAATACAGTAATTTGTAAGAATTTGAAGTTTCGTGGTTCAACCAAAAAAAAAACAAAGTGATGGAAACTAATGGTAGAGCCTTGACCAGGGTCCAGAGGAGGATATCATGAGTGTTAATAAGAAAATGGAGAGTAATATGGTGGGGGTTGCCGTTGCCCGTTGGCTATGAAAATTTGTGGAGGTGTTAAAAGTAGAGTTTATAGAGCAAAGACCACTTCTTATAAATAGAGTAAACCTAGGCTTTGCATTGCAATTAATTCATTTTAAAGTCTACTTACTTCTTTTCTCTATTCCCTTCACCATAACTCATCAACCCTCCTTTCTATTTGAGTATATCTCCCTCATTGCAATTTTTCTTTTAGTTATATCTTTAGTTAGTCTTAACCACATGTTATATTTTCTTAAATATAAGGACCTAGCTGATGAGCTTCATGCCAAGAAGAGGAAATTATTTTCGCAGAAAAAATATTGTATTTCTCTTCAGTTTCAGTGATTACAATGCATTTGTGAACGATGTTTTATGAAAATAAAAAATAATAATAACATGATATTACTAGGGAAACATTGTTTGTGGACAAAGATGTGCATTTGGGGGATCAGCACAATGATAATCCGAAGGTAAATGAACTGTAGCTATTTTTTTTTGTTATAAGTACGTAAATGTAGTTTTGGAAAGACTTGACATTCGTTTTAATCAAGTCTAGTATCATAGTTTACATACCGCGACCATATTATGGGAGAGGAAAACGAAAGCAAATTACAAAAAATATAAAGGAATTATAATTTGTTAATGTATACGTTGGGTCGCAATCAAAGAGGGTGGTGGTGAAATAAAAGAAGGACCATTTTATTTTAAAATAATGATAACAAAGTTGGAATATTGATGGTGCGTTAATGGGGACATGTCTCAACCGTCATGTGTCCCCAGGGTCTAGGACTATCTCTCTCAATCCCTAGCCAACCCTTTCGTCTATTTAATTAAATAGATAACTTAAGCTAATATACTTTAAGAACTTTACTAATGGCATGCCGCATGGGTCTTTAACAATCCTCCTACCTCTGCTATCTAATTCGGTATTACTTTTATTCTGATAGCACAAGCTTTATACGCCCAGTACCGGTCCTGATATGGGAGAGACCAGAAGCAATTTTATAAAAATTGGTCATTTTTATAAAACCGTTTATTTACCATAATAATAATTTTCTTCTAAAAAATGCTGATTTTTTTAAATATTTTTTGAGGATCGGAAGCTGTTGCTTGTAATGCTTTCCCCCAGGGCCGGTACTTACGCCTTGAGCATTATTTTATCCACGACATTCTCCGAATTGGCTTTGTATACTTCTTTTCTCGACAATAGTTTTGATTATTTCATCTCACTTCTCAGTGTCAGTGGTGATATCCACCAACAATATTGCACATATACAAGAAACAATACGACTAACGAGCTGATAAAACTATATAATGAGGATTGGAAAGAAGAGGGCACCTTAGTTAATGAGTTATAGATATGTATATAATTCAGTGTTCAAAAAAAAAAAAAAAAAAAAAAGATATGTATATAATTCGGTCAAAATTTAGGTCGGAATCCAGACTGTTTTTTTTTTTTTTTTTTGTAAACTATAAATCCAGACTGTTTCCTTGTAGTTATTCGTTTCAAGTTTCGACTGGACCAGTTCGCTTTGCTATGAAGTTATAATTCATGACTATTTATTCCATTGTCATATTATCTTCTATTTATTCCATTGTCATATTCATCTTCTATATATATAAGAGGAAATAAAAGAGAAGAGATTCATAACAAGAATACAAGAAATGGAAGGATCTTTATTAACTACGCAAATAGAAAGCCCAATTAATATGGGCCAGATTTTATAACTCATTAGTGGCATGTAAGCTGTAACAAGGTCACAAAACGTGTAGAGATAGTTTCGCTCTCTTATTTCCAAACAAATTTGGGCTTAAACGTGTAGAGATACTTGTTTTATTTCATGATAATTAGAGCCCGGTCCCATTGATCGTGCCAGGTATTCTAATGGTGATATGGCTTTAGCAAACATATTAGTTCAAGTTTGTTTTGTCGGGTTGAGTACCAAAAGATTTTATAGACTAGTCAATAGTCATCATTCATTAACGATAAACCCCAATATTCATTTAAATAATTTATGTATCTTTCAAAATATAATCTCTATATCCGTCAATTCAAAATCATGAAATTTTATTATTGGTTTACAATCCATCTACGTCTACGTTTTATTTTGACATAAAAACAACGTGCTAATGTAAAAAATCTGTCGACTAACATGAGTTCGATGGCTTCTATTGTAGTTGTAACAAATTAACAAAGATATGTTGACACTGACTTTTTTTTTCTTTGCATGGGATGTTGCTTGGTGCTTGGAGCAACTCTAATGAAAAAAAAATTAACATGAATATCTCAAAAAAAAAAAAATATATATATAGATATTAATATTTTAAAATTACGAAAAATTCAATTGAAAATATCTTCGTTCTATTTTTTTTGTTGAGAGCTTTTCACTGGAATTGTTTAAGGTAACTATCATTTCATTTGAGAATATAGTTAAGATAATCATTTTACAAAAAAAAAGTTATAGTAATCTGTTTCTGTAAAGTACTAGAAATGTGCGGATTTTATTTTTATTATATTTTATATAATTTAGTTTTATATATTAAATAAAAATATCAAAACTGTTTTTTTATTAATAGTGTTCAATAGTATATAACGTAGATATAATTGTGCAGTGAAAACATTAATTTGTATATTTGTTTGAAATGCAAAATTAAAATTAATCTTAATTGTTTGCGTTTTGATGATTAGCTGAGAGTTTAGTTATTTTGGATTAAACTTGAGACTTAATATCCGTTATCCGTTATCCGGTTTGGGTACGTTCTGATCCACTCCAAATAAACGGATATCCGAGGGTCCGGATATATAGTTATTTTACGGATCCGGATAGTGAAATTTACGTCGGGATCCGGATCCACTTTACATTTTTAAAATATTGAAAATATAATTATATTTATAAATGTATATTCTATAATTTTTCTATAAAAAAATTATTTTTTATTAAATTTCAATAATTTTGATCTGCACTTGAGAATGTTACAAATGTTTTATTAGTCTGTAAAATTTTTCACTATTTAAAATATTTTACATTCAAATCATCGTACAAGATACCGAAATATCAGTAACTTTCTAAAATAGATAGCTGCAAAATATTATATCATATCGTAGTTAATTAGACATATATTATTACATTAATAATGTGAGATACAATCTAAAAATCTTGTCTAAAAAAAAGAGATATTTTTATTTTAATAATATAGATGGTATTCTATCGTTTTGTTTCACAAGAATGATTTTTATATAAAGACATAGAATTGGTTATATTATTCTTAACACAAAACAAAGAATTGACTTCTGATATGTTGTTGTTTTGTTTTTTTTTGTTTTATTATAAATAGAACAACTTCACTTTTTTTCTTATTGCAGAGAAAATCGAATTAATGTTATACAAGATCCAAATTACAAGATATATGCACACTAGATTGAATTTTATTTTAATTTTCGAAGTGATGGTACATTAATTAGATTTCTTAGCATTGTATCACATACATACAAACTAATCAATTAATTGACTCATTCATCAACAATTAAATCATCAATTAAACTACCATAAATATTTAATACTCACTCAGTTTCATTAAAACTAGTATTTTGATATTTTCGCACAAATTGAAAAAAAAAATATGTTTTTATTAATTACACATATTTATTTAATAGTATTCAAGAGAAATAAATCTATTATTATCAATATTAAATTTTAAAAATGGACAGTTTTAAATTGTTCTAAAGAGATAATCACATACAATCCAGAAACTAAATGTAAAAGAACCATATTGTTGAAAAACTTACTTATAAAACTATTAAAAATGATAAACTTTACTATTGAGCTAGATTTGATTAACATAAAGTAAATAAAGTAAATAATACTCTCTCAGTTTCATTATAAGTGTCGTATTAGGTTTATGCACACAAATTAAGAAAACAATTAATTTTACATATTTTTCATATAAAAACACAATTACTTATGCACCTAACCATATATCAACCAATAGAAAAATATATTGCAGAATAAAAGTAATAAATTTTGCATTGAAAATCGAAAACAACACTTATTTTGTAACGAAATTTTTTTCTAAAATGACACTTAATATGAAAAGGATAGAGTATATAGTAACATATAAGTTTCGTAGTTTCTTTCCTCGTGGAAATTAGACGTCACAATTTTTCCAAGGTTTCTTGTCGAGTACAAGTAATCAACTAATCAACTCCTTTGTTCATAAGCTTAAACCAAATCTCAATCTCACACACACACACACCTCAACCAAAAAAAAACACACAGAAAAATAAAGTTGATAGCTTTATTGCATAGTAATATATAAACCAATCACTCTCCTCTCATTAACCAAAACAAAAAAACAGTTCCCTTGTTCTCAAAAAAAAAAAAAAGTTTTGATTTTTCTCTCTGTTTCGTTCTCTCGTTAACATCTGTGTGGTAGCCATCGAGTAAGAAACAATGGAGGTTGATTCAACTAATGATCCATAAGCTTAAAAAACGGGTCAAAATCAAAACCCAGAAACCTTTATGGACGAGGCACGACTTGTGGGAGACTACGAACTTGGCCGGAGACTCGGGTCTGGTTCCTTCGCTGTGGTGTGGCTAGCAAAGCACCGATCCTCTGGTTTAGAAGTCGCAATCAAGGAGATTGATAAGAAACTCCTTAGCCCTAAAGTCAGAGACAGTCTCCTCAAGGAGATTTCGATTCTCAGAACCATCGATCATCCCAACATCATCCGATTACATGAATCTATTGAGGTTTTGAACTCTTTTGTCTCTTTTGTGTGATAAAGGTGTGAACTTTGGATGATGATTGATTTGGGTTTTGTGTTTTTTGTAGACTGGAGATAGGATTTTTCTTGTGTTGGAGTATTGTAGTGGAGGTGATCTTGCTGAGTATATCAATCTCCATGGAAAAGTCTCTGAGCCTGTTGCTAAACATTTTATGAGGCAATTGGGTAAAGACAAAAGCTTTGTTCTGTCTCTATGTAGAGTCTCTGTGTTTATGTTTGTGTTTGTATTTTATAGCTTTAGGTTTGCAAGTACTTCAAGAGAAGCACTGTATCCACAGAGATTTAAAGCCTCAGGTTAGTAGAAACCTTCCTTGTGTTCTACTTTTTTGGTGGTTATGATGAAAAGTCTAGTAGTCATGGTTCTGTTTTGTTTTCAGAATTTACTTTTGTCGTCAAAGGAAGTTACTCCATTACTAAAGATAGGAGATTTTGGGTTTGCAAGGTATTGTTTATATCTCTTGTCTCCAAAAAAACGTTTTCTTTTTATGGTATGTAATGTTGAGAATTGTTTCGGTAGGTGTTTAACACCGGAGAGCATGGCTGAAACGTTTTGTGGTTCTCCATTGTATATGGCTCCAGAGATTATCCGGAACCAAAAGTATGATGCCAAGGTGAAGACAACTTCATCATGTGATTAGTCCCGTAAAGATTTAAAACCTTTTTCTCATTATTTTTAAGCTGTGTAATGGATGTTTCAGGCTGACTTGTGGAGTGCTGGTGCGATTTTGTTTCAACTTGTTACTGGGAAGCCACCTTTTGATGGGACTAATCAATTCCAGGTTCGTTTTGGCCTGAACCAGTGAATTGCCTCTTTGAACTTGTAGTGAACTTATGGCGTTTTGTAATGGTTTTGGGGGATTTGATGATCTCTGCAGCTTTTTCACAATATTGTGAGAGACACTGAGCTGAAGTTTCCTGAAGATTCTTTGAATGAGATTCATCCTGATTGTGTTGATCTCTGCAGAAGTCTTCTACGCCGAGACCCAAGTACTTGTTCTAGTCTTCTTTTCTTTGTCTACTTGTCCTTATGATCAATCAAGATCACATTTCAAAATACGTTTTGCTTAACTACAGTTGAACGCTTGTCGTTCCGAGAGTTCTTTAGCCACAGGTTCCTTCAGGAGGCAAGGTAACCTCTCGAGACTTACATCTCTCTTTTGTTCAACCATCGAAAAACTTCAAATGATTTGCTTCATCTTTCATATCAAATGTTCTCAGACAAACTTTGGGTGTTACTCATTCTGAATCTACGGGGAAGTCCTCTTTATCTTCTCGACAACCAACTAGTACAAACCTGTTCAAAGCAAGTGCAGAGAATGTCTACAAACATGGGAGTTCTTCTAGTGCCTCAACGTCTAACATTTTGATGCATAATTTCTCTTACTCCAAAGACAGTGAGGGACAGTCTTCATCAAATCAGTTTGGAGGTTTGTTATTCAACGTTTTTTTTTGTCTCTTATCCCTATTTTTGCTTTTATAAGCTCAGATTCACTCAGTATGGCTTTTGATATTGTACATTTGTTTGCAGTACTTGACTCTCTTGAGCTCATAGAGAGGGAGTATGTACTTGTAAACCGTCCTTCTGAAGGTTCATCAGATTGTACTGACACATCGCTATCTGGGATTTGTAACTTCTTACCAAAGAACGAGAAAGGTTCACTTGAAGCACAAAGACCAGGAAGCGGATCATACATGTTAACAGAAGTCCAACGGTCAACTATAGTTCATCCTCCAACGAAGCTCCAACTTTTGCATCAGTATGCAGAAGCACTTGCAGAAGTAGCTCGTGAGATGGTAACTTCTTCAACTCCTAATTTCACTGGTCTCTCAGATTGATAACATTAAAGCTTCTTCTAATGCCGTTTGCATAACAGGGCAATGCAGGACAGGTTAAGGAATCTTTTGCTGTTACTCTCGTCGTTTTAGCTGCCTGGAGAAAAGCTTTGGAGATATGTGATTCTTGGATGATGTCCGTTGGAGAAGATAAAGTGAATCAAGAGATAACCACAGCTCCAGAAGCTTCAAATCCTGATTTAAACTCACCAGCAGTAGCTAAAACTTGGGTGACACAAGAGTTTGTTACTGCGTTTAACCAGGCTGAGACTTCATCTACTCAACTAAACGAAACAAGCGGTTAGTCACTTAAACTAAGCATTCTCTTTTGTGTTACATTCACTGAATGCATCTCATTGCAGCTGCTACTCATATGCCTGATGCCATGGAAACTATATACGAGAAGGCACTAGCATATGGCAAGAGTGGTGGGGTAAGTTAAAAGTTTACTGAGACTTTTGTCAAAAGCTTCCACCTTTGGATCACCGTTTTGTCCTAAAAGTCTTAAACTTCTTTTGTTGGTTGGATTCATTCTTGCTGCAGGCGGAAGAGTATTTGAATAACAAGGAAAGTGCAGGAAGACTATACAAGAAAGCAATACTTCTACTCTCCTTTATAATAGAGGAAGCAGTGACACTACCTCTAAACCCTCCTTTCTCATTAACCCCTGACGACAAGAAGCGTATTCTCTATTACATCTCTAACTTGCAGCATCGTCGGTCTCATCTTTAGTGAAAGTTCGACCCCGCTACATTGTACAGAAAGAAACTTTCTTGGCTCTGCCTTGAGTCAAGTTTTATAACATGTGGGCCTTCTTTGTTTCCTTTTATCTCTTGAAATATCAAAAAACGGTTACTCTATATTGATGGTGTTGTGACCAAAATTATTTGCCTCCATTGTATAGTGCAATATCAAAAGCTCTCAAGTACCATTAGTATACAACAATCTACTATTTTTTTTTTTGGACAAATATACAACAATCTACTTATTTTCTGAAGTCACACTGTTACAAAAGGAACACAAAAACACCAACAAAAAATAGGGAAATTGGGCTGGATGGCTAAAAAAAAACCATATTTCAGTATATAACCAAAAGTCCTAAGATACATCGCTACACCTTGTATATTATGTATAATTCTACTTTTGCTCTTTTACGCTACTGGTAAACTTGTTAAACAAAAAAATATTAATTACGCTTGGACATCGGAGAGACACATCATCTCACAATAACTTCTTTCTCTCTACGTTTTTGAGAAGCTGAAAAGTCTGAGACGGATATTTGAGAAACATGAACAGAACACCGGTGAGACCCAACGTATATTCAATTTCAGGCGACTGTCTTACTTGATTTCGTTTTCTTTTGGCTTAGCGTCTCTGATCCACAACCAACAGCAACAAAACAGACATTACCGGTTACTCAGAGAGCTGTGTCCCAGAATTTCCAATCGTACTTCCACCATCTTTAACCGGAACTTCATAACCCTCATGTAAGTTGCGTTTGCGTTCCTTTTTATTAACAGTGAAATTGCATGTATTATACTTGATTGGGATTCCGACTTATGTATTATACTCTATTACTTTTGAATTCTGACTTTTTCAAGTTTGATTGGGGTTCTAAGTGATTATTGTGTGGAATAGTGTTTGATTTACAGTGTTGTCTCTCTAATGTATATAGTATGGTATTTTATAAATCACTTCTATATGAAGTGGAATAAAATCATATAAGAGCAGATTTGTTGTTATGTGAAGTGTAATAGAATAGCCTTTGAATACCTAGTTGTCTCGTTCTCTGTATATAGTATATATTTGTTATCGATCTATTCCATGTGAGATAGAATATAATTTTATATAAGTTCATAGTGTATAGTTCCCTGTTGTTATAAATAGATCCATGACGTTTTAATTTATTCCACCTTGAATGGAAAGGAATGGAAATTCATAATTTTCTATATCTAGTATATTTTTCTATGTTGTTTAGAGTTTTTCAATTCTAGGTATAATGGAATAGAAATAGGTAAATTGTTTCTCATGTTAACATAGACTTGCATACCTTTCACTTGGCTGTGATACAGAACAACCTCAATAATACTGACTGGTCGATTGGATACCTAGCGCAATACATTGTTGATTAGTAAGTCTCTATACCATATGTTGATGTACACCTATTCCATTCCAAATGTATAGGAACTACCTATCTGTATTTTTGTAGGTATGTAGTATACTGTCATTCACACCTACATTATTCGAGATGGAATGGAATGGAATAATTTATATACATCTTACTATATAGCTACATATATACATATTGGTCGTGTTTTAGATCACTATTTAGTGCATTTATTCCATCTTATGTGAAATATATTGGACACATCAACTTTATGCTTCAGTTTACCTAGACTTGCATACGTTCTTGTTCAAGCTCTTCTTCTTGCATGCGTTTGAGATTTGGGTTTAATATACGTTCTTCCATTTGGAATGGAATAGATGTAGATGCATTCATTCCATACTAGGTGAAATGGATTAGACATAGCAGCTATGTGTTTCAGTTTACATAGACTTGCATATGTTCTTGTTCATGGTGTTATTCTTCCATACGTTTGACATTTGGGTTAATGTACGTGATACAAAACCACCTGGTTTATTAGCCAAATAATGATTTGTCCATTGCTTACATAGTGCATTACATTGTTGATGAGGTTCCCACTATAGCTGAGTATGATGTAAATCTATTCCAATCCGAATGGAATAAAATGTATATAGTATATCGACCTTTACGTCTATTCTATTCGACATTGATTGGGCTGGAATAATAGATTTCCATCTTTCTTTAGTTTACCATCATGCTTAATTTCATGACATCATTGTATAGCTTATCTATACTAACTATTTTCCCCTATTTTTTTTATTATGTTAGGTTAGACATAGACGAATTGGGCTTTCCAAGTAGATTGTTCGCCACAAGGTGTGAATCCACTGGAAAGAAAATGGTTAACAACTACTTCAACCTCCGTTGGCTTGAAGTGATAAAAGGTGCATTAGAGGATGATGACCTTGCAATGTTGAATGTTTCTCAGTTTGGGCCAGTTATGCGGAATATAACAACTACTATAGATTATACATAATCATTTATAAATGGGATTGATGAATACAAAAACAGAATGGAACAATATATTGTACTATTTACATGTTTTATTTGGATTTGGGTTTATCAGATGTTCTATAAGCCACAACTCTAGTACCATGTTCAAGATCTCGGTCACCAAGGGATTGAAGTTTATATTTTCTTAACTTTTGTTTAGTGATTAACGTCCATAACATTTTAAATGACAACTTATGGGTTTATATTTCCATGTATGGTTTAGTGATTTGTTAATAGGGTTAAACTATGTACGTTTGGGGTTTACTATTTAGGGATTAGGGAAATGTTTAGTATTCAAAGGGTGTGAATGGAGTTATAATTATATACTATTTTGGACATATGGAATAGAACACTAAGTGAATATGTATGTGGTCAATAAAGTGTCTATCCTTTGCTGGCGATAAGTTGCAGCGACGTCTCTCAACACCTCGTGTCTATTCTATTTGATGATTAATAAAGAGTTTCATATTTGGCTCACCAATATGTATTATTCTATCTATTTTGTTCCATTCTATTTGGATTTAGGGTCTACACTTGGGTTTAGGGTTTAGTGGTTAGAATTTAGGGTTTAGTATTTGGAAGGGGAGGGGGGTTGAGGTTTGAGTTAGTGATAGCAGCTTAGGTTTTAGCATTCAAAAGTTAAGTCTGGTTTAACATTTAAGAATTGTGTGTTGGGTTTATGAATGTGATGTGTCATTCTTTTCTTACGGTAGTTATAAAGAAGTGGCTCTAAATTTGAGATGGAAATGTTTTATATTGGTGTGTATATGATTGTTTGTTTTGTTCTATTATATTTAACGAATGTAGAATAGAATGTGATTTTCTGGGGTGGGGTTGAGGTTTATATTTATGTTAAGGGTTGATATTTATTTTAAAAGTCTTTTATTTTTATCTATTTTTATTACATATAGTGAATAAATACCAAATTAATGTAGTGTTTAGTATTAGTGAATATGAGTGTCGTTTGAGTTATATACTATTTCAGTGATATGGAATAGAACACATGAAGTTTGGGTGATGAACTATGTCACAGAGATAAAATAGTTTATGCACAACCGAGATAGAATAGTATATTCACAATCTGGTAATCATTAACTTCTTCATACACTTATCTTAATAAAGTTTTAGGTTCACATTGTAGAAAGGTTTACATTTCATGTAGTGTTTAGTTCTTAGTTAATAGGATTCTGTTTATTCTGAGATTTATACTATTTTGCTATATAGAATAGTAATACATGTAAATTTCTTTGTCTGTTACGTTAACATAATTTGTATCGTGTCACAACATTCTCTTACATCTTATGTCTTAATTAAAGTTGGACTATGCCTTGTATAGTTATGTCACAAAAAGAACCACGTTACTTATTTTAAGAATTGCAACTGGGAACCGTCTATGTTAAAGGGTAGAACCGGAGATAATGTAACCAAAATATCTGACATTTAATTATGTCACAATCAATGCTACTCACCTAATTTCACACTGAAATATGGCTATCTCGCCAATAAGCCCAACAAAAAATCCTCACCTCTCAAATTTTTTTTTTTTGAATTGACTGTTAAATTAATTCAAAAAAACCTTGTTACACTTAGTGCTTCCTTCTCTACTTTCTCTACTTGTTATATACAAAAAGATTTAAAAGACCAAAAATCTTTCTAAGCTTTGTACTGCCTTAACTTTGCCTTGTCCCAAACCAGTATCTCAATCCTCCATCAAGCTTCTTGTCTCCCCTCCTTTGAATGATAGAGAATTTATTCCTAACTGTTTTATCAATCAAACTTGTTAAAAGATTAGCTGGACTGTCTTTCTCCCCGTGCCTTCTCCTATTCCTTTCTCTCCATATGCTATGCACAGCCACTTGAAAAGCATATCTTACTGTAAAAATCTGAAGTTTTTCTCTTCTCTGATCCATAATAATCCTCCAAATCTCCTCCAACACTCCGTATAATGTTCCCCCAGAACCCCTTTTACCAACCGTTCCCAAATCTGCTTTGAGAAAGGACATTCAAAAAAGAGATGAGATACTGTCTCCACTGGATCCTGGCAGAAGATGCATGATGTATCAGCATTTATATTCCAACTTTTCATGCGTTCACCACTGCTGAGCCTGTCCTTCACCGCAACCCACATCAAGAAAGCAAACTTAAGCGTTGAGTGTTTAAACCAAACTGCCTTATACTCATTAAACATCTGGTGCTTCTTTCTTATTATTGGCCAAGTATCTCCAGACTGAAAACCCCGTTTATACTTAACTTCATTGCACTTCCAAAGAGGAATATCATCACCACCATATTGTCTTACTTCTTTGAACTTCTCAATTTCATCCTCAACTCTATTTAGAATTGGGATTCTATGGTTCCTCCTCCTATGGTGCCTGCAATCATCAAGCTTTGCATCCATAGGAATTCCCAAATCATAGTATCCTCTGTTACCCAACGTATCTTTTAAACAACCCAGGGGGGACCAAGCTTCATACCAAAAAGACACATTCCTTCCATTCTTCGCTTCAACTTTGTATAGCTGCTGTGCTCTACTTCTATACTTTAAATTTTTTTTCCACATCCAAGAGCCTAAAGATGTTTCCCTCACCGACCAGAAAGAACCACTTCGTATAATATAAGTATGAAACCATTTTACCCACAAAGTCTTTGCAGATAAAATCCTCCATATCAGCTTCAAAACACATATCTCATTTATTTCTTTTAGTGGTCTAATACCCAAGCCTCCCTCCTTTTTTATCCGACAAACTTCTGGCCAAGCAACTTTTGCCTTCCTGCTATTTAAATCTGGCCCTGACCACAAGAAAGCAGAGCATAACTTCTCAATCTCTATAATACATC